CTCTGTTTGGACCCCACAAGTCTGAATGTACATAATCTAACTTGTCTTTGGTCTTGTGCTCTGCCTTCTTGCTGAATTTTACCCTTGTCTATTTACCAAATACAAAATGCTCACAAAAATTCGAAACTTGATTTTTGTACACATCTAGCAAAATTTTCTTGCTCAACAAAGACAATCCCTTATCACTCATATGACCAAGTCGCAACACAACTGAGACTGATTTAGATCACTTTTTTCAGAAGCTACATCAGTTTCTCCTTCAACTACACTAGCCTGAAAAATGATACAATTTAGAATGTAGTTCACCTTTCATGAGTACCATGGAGCCTTTACACACTTTAAGTATTCCATTATCGGAGTGAAACTTATACCCTTGATCATCCAATGTCGAAAGAGAGATCAAATTTTTTTTTATCCGAGGAACATGCCAACACTCAATATTTCTGATAATTCCATCGAACATTCTAAATCTGATATTACCAATCCCCTCTACTGGTAATGGATTGCTATCTCTCATGTAGACAGTCCCACTGATCTGCTTGTAAGTTGCAAACTAATTTTTGTGTGGACACATGTGAAAAGTAGCACCAGAATCAAGAATCTAGGAATTCTGCCCATGACTAGAACCTATGGCACAGACTTCCCCTACATAATCAGTATCATCAAAATTATTGCGAGTGTCAATAATATTTGCCGAATTATCTATTCAGCTTGGGACAATCTCTCTTATAGTAACCTTGCTCCCCGCACTCATAACAGTTCTGCTTCCTTGTTCTAGACTTCGATCTAGCAGTTGACATTTTCCTGTTAAATTCCTTTTGTTATGTTCTTCCTCTATTCACAAGACCCTCATCCTCAGTTGTGCTGTTTAGAAAGCTCTTTTTTAACATTTTAGATAGTGCATTACTAATATCTTCCAGTGAAATACCGTCTTTCCCATATAGTAGCATATTAGGAAAAGTATCATAAGACGATGGTAAAGAACATAACACAATCAAGGCCTGATCCTCACTCCCAATTTTGATATCCACATTCTTCGGGTCCATTATAATTGAATTAAACTCATCAGGATGAGTTTTAACAGGTGTAACTTCATTCATACGAAGATTGTATAACCTCATTTTCAGGTAGAGGCGGTTTGTCAGCGATTTCTTAGAATACAGATCTTCCAGCTTCTTCCATGTTGTTGCTGCAAAAGTTTCTTCAGCAATTTTCCGAAGAACGCTATCTGTAACACTCATGAATATCGCACTCAAATCCCTCTCCTTCAGGTTTGCCTTCTCCGTCTCTTTCAACTCTTCAGGAAAATCCTCATCAATTGCCTTCCATAAACCTTGTAACACGAGGGATGATTTCATCCTAATCTTCCATAGACTGAAGCTAGAACCCCCGTTTTCTCTACTTCGTACTTTTTTGAAGATGAAGAAGACATCTTAACCCTAGATTATATATATAAATCCAAACCTTGCTCTGATGCCAATTGTTGCGGATGATCGTGGGTTAACTAGCACACAATCATACACAAAGCAAATAGAGAAGAAAAATCAATACACGGATTTAACGAGGTTCGGCTAAGCTTAATCCTCAGGGCAGAAAAAGATAGAGTTTTTCACTATATATGAATGAGAAGAAAAATACAATACAATCTCTGCTTCAAGAATTCCTACATCAGTGGCGGAAGCAGAATTTTTATAAAAGGGATTTCAAAAAATTTNTATATATATGAAAAAATTAACCTTATATATATGCCATGTAATTTTTTTTTACGAAAGGGGCTAGATTGAACCTTTTTCTGTCCATCTAACTCCGCCCCTGTTCTAACCTTTGTTATTATTTCTAATTCTAATGTGTTCAATATATTATTTCAGAGGCAGTACGTACCACACACCTTGCAAATTATTACTGGAGATGCATCGATCATTGTGGGGAGTGGTTTATCCAATTGCTGTGTCATCCCCGTTGTATTAATTAGATCCTTCTTGCCAAATTTAATTTCCAGCCCCTTAGGATATTTTCCGAACATGCAGAGGGGATCCAAAATTCACATCTAAATATCTATAAATATTTGACTGAAATCTAATTATTATATATTGATTTGAAGTCGCCGTAAACTCCAAATCAAGAATTCATCTCTGAAAACATGGAGGCAATAAACTTCCTGCTGTGATAATTCTCATTTTTAGACTTGGTAATAATATCACAATATAGGAGGCGACACTTCTTCTTGTCAACAATAGTGTCCCTATATAATATAAAATTTCTTTGAATTTTATCAAAGTTATTTGTGACCAGCTTTAATTGCACCACATGATGATTTAGAATTGTGGCAATAATGTCCTTCACAAGTGTAGCTTTTCCAGTCATATTTACTTTTTCAACCACTTAATTTGGTACTCATATGATCAAGAATGAGTGAAAGTCATGATAAAAAGAAAATATGGTGAAGAAAGATTGAAACAAACAATGGATATTGCCCTATCTTAATGATTATTTAAGGGTTTTTTTTTTGTCTCATCAAGCCAGCTAGAGGTGTTGTTGACGTTAAAAAAGAAAATACAAATTAAAGCAATTTATATTTGGTGATCATTGATCAAATTAATTTTCTTTTGGTCCCATGAAAGTAGACCGCGTTACAGCTAGGAAGACAAGAGTACTGTGCTAAAGGGACGCGGCATTTGGTTTGCTTTCAATATAGGATGTAGTCAAACAGTTTTCTACGGGAAGTTTGAGTTTATGAGTTTTATATTCTAGAAAATTATTTATAGATATTAAATAATTTTATTTTAAATACAAACGCAAAGTCGGAACTAAAACTATTAAATTCTGCGAAACCTATATTAGCTCTTGGATGATGATGATGATCAGCGTGTTTCCCGTCCTTCTCTACGCAGTTGATGTCTTTTAGACCCTTACATATAAGTTATTCAAGCCAAATCGAAATATTAAATCAAATCAAATTGAATTGAATTGACATATAATTTGAAAAAAAAAATTGCCATAAAATTATGGTTTTGAATGTAAAGACAGAAAATAATTCGTTTAATGGTGCTAAATAAAAAATTTAACTGAAACTAAATGATAATAGTTGATTTCATTAAAGAAATGTCTAACATATAGTATAGGTTAGGAAGAGGTTCAAATATCGAATGCTGATGATAGAAACAAAATAATTAAGGAAAGATTGCTACGGATCACATGAGAACCATCAGAAAATAAATTATGCCGTATTAAATACTATAATAAGAATAAGGGATCAATACACTTATTTTTAAAAGCATAAAATTAGCAAAATCCGCAGTAAAAGTATTGACAAGAAAACAAAATTTACAGATTATGTAGTGGGAGAATTAATTAGCATCCCATATGGAGGACATAACGTAACGTTCTCTTGTTTCAAGCTTTATATTATTTCTGTTTGAATCGTACAGTACATAGGGTGCATATTTAAATGAAACTGAATGTTGAAACAGTCTCAAAAACTTACATGCAGGTATTTATACCATTCAATAAATATATGATAACTGTGTTTATAAACATGATTATCATTAAATCATAGTAAATTAATACACATTCTCATCTTACTCTATCATTTAATCATTATTAATTAAGTATTTACTACTCTTGTTAATGGTAATAATTTCAATAAATTTGGAAAGCAATTACTTAATGATAGTGGTAAAATTGGAAAAAATAATTAATTTAAAATATACTTTCTCCATTCATTTTTAATTGTCCACTATACTAAAAATATATTTTCACTTTTACTTGTCCATTTTAGAAAGTTAGAAGAAAAATATTTTGAAATGCTATCATTATTATGGGTAAAATTGTAAAATACATACTTCATTTATTTTTTCTTAAATGGGGTGCAAAGTGAAAAGTTAACAACTAAAAGCAGTGGTGGAGGTAGAGTATAGTTACTGGTTCCCAGGAATCCAGTAACTTTTGCGGAGACACTGTATTTTTATTAAAAAATCCATTAAATATCTATAAATATATAACTGTGAACCCAGTTATTATTGTATATTAAATTGAGATTATAATAGGAACCCATAAACTTCAAATCATGGATCCGCCTCTGACTAAAAGTGAACGGAAGGAATATACTATCTAAAAAAAACAAGGTGTGAAATACTATCTAAAATGTTAATACCAAATTTTAATTTGGATCATTTGGATGATCAGTCTTGCGAAAGTGGAATTTGGGCCATCAGGTGGGAGGGACTCTTCATTTTAGTATGGGTTTTGTACCAAAAGACTCGCATACGAACCCAATATAGAAGGGACACAAAATTTAATCTTTTCGGATGCCAAAAGAAGAAGAAGAATTATCAGTGCATGCCAATCAAATTTGCACCTGTATCTACAGTCTAAGAGGAGAAATAGTATTAGACAGATCAGATGGTAAATAAGCTAATCAAATTATCATCTCCAGAATTTTATTGATGAAGGCTAGTATGCAAAGAATTGAGTACAAACTTTGAAATAGAGATTATTTGCAAACTTTATTTATTTCTCATATGCCTGCATGAAAAGATAGTTGCAGATGTTTCTATGAAATTTGAATAGTGGTCAAGAAATTAGGTGTATTCACATCACCGAGCTTAGTTATTAAATGGCTGATTACACTAGTTTATTTTCCATAATAGTGAAATCAGTTGTATGTATGTACTGAATAATGTACAAAGAATGTTGAGCTGAGCATGTTCTAGTTTGGTTATGTTTTGATGATTGACAAATGAAGAGCAACTATGAGTAGCAGATGTCAAGTGAACCAGGTTCGTAGCATGATGGAATTAAATGCTGATCAGACGCGCAATTACATGTGCAAGTTCAATTCCAGAAAGAAGTTAGTTCATGCGCAACAAGAAAATATCTTGGATAGAGGAATCCGTGTATTAAAAGAATTTCTACAATAAGGAATAACTTGCGTGGAAGGAAAGAGTTGAGGAGGCGGAAACAAATAAGAAAATTAAATCAAATTAGGAGAGGTTTTCCTTAACAGAAATATTCTAGGTTCTAGAGCATTAATTAATTGGAGAAAGATTTCTGTCATCCTCATTCCTATATATAGAGACCTATTGATGTCGCCTAAAGATCAAGTATTCACTTTTGACAATAGCAACTACGGCAAGAAGGTGCTCTCAAAGGATTCAGGCTGCTCAACTAAAGAACCTATTCCAGAAGACAAAGCTGCTAGTTCTTTAGTTATTTGTTTTAGTCTGTTGTTCTTATGTTGTAACATATTGTTAGCACAAAAACTTTGAGTTTTTGTATTAGCTTCGTAGACTAGAGTTAGTTTGGGAATGGATAGCTACAATTAAGTTGATTGTAGAGTAAGGGTATTAGAGTTAGTTTCCTTGGTTATAGAGTTATAACCTAAAACTACTCTTTGAAATTGGTGAAGTTTTGGGAAAAAATCCTATTAGACTGGACCGTGATTTTTACTCTCTTGAGCAAGGAGGTTTTCCTTGTAAAAATCACTGTGTTGTTCAATTTCTGCACTTCACTTTCTGTTTGTGTCTGTTTATTTAGTACAAAGAACTAGTTTCTTTGAAATCGCTAAAATCGGGCAAGACACAATTCTAACCCTTTCTTGTGTCTGAGTGGACTCTAAAATATAACAAAGAAGAATTCAAAATGCAAACACTTTTTAGTTTCCCACAGCCAGTCTTTATGTTATTCAAAGTAGGTTATATTTTCAGGAAAGTTTAAAGCTGGATATGAAATGGAAAACTCAAAACATCATCATAAATCATAAAAGTTCTTGGTCGAAGTACTTATATTATATGACATAAAAAGAGGACCATTGCAGCATTTCCATTTGAGATACTAGAGACAAAAGATGTTTCAGTTTTTCTTTTAAATTATTTAATATCATTTCTGGTTTAAATGTAATTTCTGAGAAACCCCAGCAACACACAGAATGCATTACTCAAGTCAACAAAGACCGAGACTCCAGGCACCAAAACACTTTTTTGCTTTTAATTTTCAATTATTGGATCCAGTGAACTGAGCTTTTAGCATTCCATTTGTCTAGTCAGTTTCACTCTGATTATTGATCAGAATTTTGTTACTGCTCATGGAAGGTGTAAATTTAGTTTGTTTTCTTCTTCTTCTTGGAGCTATTTCAGATGGATTTTCCTGTGTGCAAATCAGTGCTATGAATTCAGGCATTCATTGCACTGAAAGTGAGAAAATTGCTCTTATCAAGTTCAGGCAAGGTTTCAGGAATCCATTACAAAGCATGTCGTCCTGGATGCTCGAGGAAAACTGCTGCAAGTGGAAAGGTGTTGAATGCGACAACAAAACTGGACACGTAATCGCTCTTGATCTACACAAACAATTCTTGCAAGGTGAGTTTGCTACTTCTTTGCTTGGCTTGCCTCATTTAAGACACTTAGACTTGAGCCAAATTGATTTCCTTGGGGCACAGGTTCCTGAGTTTATTTCCACTTTTAAGAACCTAGAGTATCTCAATTTGTCGAAAAACAAATTTAGGGGAACCATTCCTGAACATCTTGGAAATCTATCACGGCTGCAGTTTCTTGATCTTAGTGATGGTTTTTCACTCCGAGTTGACAACCTTCAATGGATTCGGCACCTATTCTCTATGAAGATTCTTGACTTAAGTGGAGTTGACATGAGCGACGCAAAAAACTGGCTACATGACATCAATCTGCTAACTTCTCTCACGGAATTACATATGTCTGCCTGTCAGCTTGATCAGTTGCTTCCTTCAAATTCTTTTATGAATCTCACATCGTCACTTCAAATTCTTGACCTCTCCTTAAACCATTTTCAAGCTCCAATTCCTAGCTGGTTGTTCAACACAAGCCACAGTCTTGTTTATCTTGATCTCAGTCGAAGTCAGCTGAATGGTTTACTTCCAAATGCCTTTGGAAACATGTATTCACTTAGAGTTGTTGATCTTTCTGACAACTCTCTCCTAGGAAATCTACCTCCTACTTTTGTGAATATGAGTTCAGTTACTTTTCTTGATATCTCAAGGAAATCTCTTGAAGGCAATTTACCACCAGCTCTGTCATCAAAGTTGAAAATTTTGGATCTTTCTAACAATAATATGGAGGGTCCTTTAGCAAGAAGCATTGCACAACTCAGGCAATTAGTTGTCCTCGATGTTTCTTGGAACTCTTTCAATGACTCGATTACTGATCATTTCTTGAATTTCAGTAACTTGCAAGTTTTAGACTTGTCATCCAACTCAATTATCCTCAATTTAACCGCAACTTGGATGCCTCGCTTTCAACTTGACTTCATTGGCCTGCAGTCTTGCCAACTTAGCACACATTTTCCCCTGTGGCTTCAGACACAAAAAGAGTTCTCATTTGTTGATATCTCTGGCGCTGAACTCTCTGGCAAAGTTCCTGAATGGTTCTGGAATCTGTCTGCAAAGGTAAAGCATATGAATATTTCAAACAACTATTTCAGAGGGGAAGTTCCTGAAGTTACAGAAAGACTTACTAGTCTTGAAGAACTAGACCTGAGCTGGAACAACTTTGATGGTCCTCTACCTCATTTCTCGCCCACGATGATGACCTTGATTTTGGACCACAATTCATTTAATGGTACCATTTCCCCTGTATGTGAATCACTTGTCATGAATAATTCTCTCATGTTTCTAGACCTATCTTCCAATTCTCTATCAGGAACACTTTCAGACTGTTGGAGATATGGGAAAAATCTGGCGGTATTGAATTTAGCCCGTAATGATCTGTCCGGTGAAGTACCTCATTCCATTGGATATCTCACCACTCTCAGGTATCTGCTACTAAGCAACAACAAGTTGTCCAAAAATCTTCCTTTATCATTGAAGAACCTACGAGGACTAAAAATTCTTGATGTTGCTAGAAATGATTTATCTGGAAATATACCATTTTGGTTAGGGGAGAGTTTAAAACATTTAATGATTCTTAATTTAAGGTGGAACAAGTTTGAAGGAAACATTCCCCTGGAGATTTGCCAGCTCAAGAGCTTGATTATTTTGGACCTTAGTTCCAATGCTCTCTCAGGAACTATTCCAAAGTGTGTTGGAAATTTCCTGACTTTGGCCGGGGTAGAGGAGGTTCCTTCCTTAATTTATGGTCCTTTTGAAGTATACAGGGAGGATGTGATGATGATGCTGAAAGAGAGAGGTTATGATCATCGTGCTCATTTCTTCCTGGGAATTGATCTATCAGAGAACCATTTATCAGGGGAAATTCCTGGGGAAATCACCACCCTTGTTCAATTGAGGTTCTTGAATTTATCATGGAATAATTTAACAGGAGCAATTCCTCATGACATTAGTAACTTGCACAATTTGGAAGCTCTTGATGTTTCCAGAAATGCCCTGTCATGTTTCTTACCATCCAACATGGTGAAACTTGATTATCTTGCAATTGCGAATTTTTCGTATAATAGATTGACAGGAAAAATCCCAACTGGAAATCAATTTGCGACCTTCAGCACTGATTGTTACATTGGGAATCCAGACTTGTGCGGCGTACCAGTCTCTCAAGGCTGCTCCGGACATTTCCATGAGGACATTACTCACTGTAATAGTAATTCTCCCAGGAAACAGGAGGTGGACGCCACTCAAAGCAACGAAAACAACTGGCTCGATGAATCATCATTCTATATTAGCATGGGAATTGGATTCATCACAACTTTCTGGGTATTTTGGACTACTCTATTATTGAAAAAGTCTTGGAGATATGCCTATATGAGGTATCTTGATAACATGGCCAACAAGATTTATAAATAAGCAGCAGTTGCTGAAGAAAGTAGTGAAGATCATTATTTTCTGCATGCAGTTAAAGAAAGCAGATGAAGCATTTAGCTTAGAGGAATAAATCCTCTTTTGGTTTTGTTGTTTGTAAAATCTTCTAGTACTATATTGTGTATGCTTAGTTGCATAGTTTCATATTGTTTTGATAAAGTTGATATCTCAAAAGGAAAGTGTAAGTGCCCCTTAAAGCTCTTTCCCTTACTTTATATTGAGTTACATTTTATTGGGCTTGTAACAAGCAAGTAAAGGAGTTGGGCTCGGCTAAACTAAGGCCAAATGAACAAATGATTGAACTAATGTAAAATCTTCAATCTGCAGAGGTAAGTACTTCATATATGAGCAAACAAAACAGCTCAGCTAATCATATAGAAGAATACATCACTGGCCTCGACTTCTTCACCAGAATTATCAAGGTAGACGAAATGATGTAAAATTTTGCCAGTTACTAGTAATAGAACGACTGGAAGAGCCTTCAAACCTCAAGCTCCTGAAACCGAGGAAAGAAAGACAATGATCAACAAGAAAAAAAGGGATAAATTTTTTCTCTTTATCATAAGAAAAATACAATGGAAATCCATCAATGAGGCTGTCCTAAGAATTTCTCAAATATGCTAAACCAATAAATATGGGTATTTGCATTTATACCCGGTTTTGATGTCACAATTGAACCTTACCCACTTTAAGATCAACTTCAAACTTATCGGGTCTGAAGTTAAAAAACATTTAGCGTGAAGTGAAAAAATTTCACTTCAAATGCACTTAAGGCCAAATAGGTCTGAAGTGCAACCAATGGTTTCATGCACTTAAGGCTAATAAGTCTGAAGTAAAAAATTACACTTCAGATGCACTTAAGGCCAATAAGCATAAAGTGAAAAATTGCACTTCAGATGCACTTAAGGCCAAAAAGTCTGAAGTGCAACAAACGTTTTCATTCACTTAAGGCCAATAAGTCTGAAGTGAAAATTTACATTTCAGATGCACTTAAGGCCAAATAGATCTGAAGTGTAACCAATGGTTTCATGTACTTAATGCCAATAAGTCTGAAGTGAAAAATTACACTTCAGATGCACTTAAGGCCAAAAGGTCGGAAGTGCAACAAATGTTTTGTTACACTTAAGGCCAATAAGTCTGAAGTGAAAAATTGCACTTCAGATGCACTTAAGGCCAAAAGATCTGAAGTGCAACAAACGTTTTGCTACACTTAAGGCCAATAAGGCTGAAGTGAAAAATTGCACTTCGGATGCACTTAAGGCGAAAAGGTCTGAAGTGGAACAAACGTTTTGCTACACTTAAGGCCAATAAGTCTGAAGTGAAAAATTGCACTTCAGATGCACTTAAGGCCAAAAAGTATGAAGTGCAACCAACGTTTTTATGCACTTAAGGCCAAATAGGCCTGAAGTGCAAATTGCCCAGAAACAGAAATTTGTTCTTCGAATTATAACAATCCAATATACGATTTAATACCTAAATCTACTCCAAAAGAGCTCAAATTTAAAACATAACCTCCAAATATCATCAGAACAAACCTCAATCATCAATTTGTCAAAACAATAATAAATTTAATGAACCCATTTTGCAATTAAGAAAAAGAAGAAGAAGAAACCCTAAACAATAGTAAAAAAATAAAATAACTCACCATTGTAAAACATCATAAATTGCATTAAAATGTTTACAACCACCATATAAAATCATTGTTACCCGAAGAAGAATAAGAAGGAGAAGGAGAAGAAGAAAACGAAGGAGGAGAAGGAAGGGGAGAAAGAGGCATGAAGTTATTTAAAAAGTGGGTACAAGTTAAAACTTTTTAAAAAGGTGGGTATAGGTTAAATGTGAGCGACCAAATAGGGCGTTCCGTGCAATTTTTACCAATAAACATTACTCAACTCAGTTAAAAATAAAACTATTTTAACTTCTAAATGTTGTTTTTGAGCATCTTGATACTTTCTTTAGAAAACAATCAACTCTCAGTTTTGACAAATCACAGTTGAAAACAAAGTTAGTAGAACAAATTTACCCGTTGGTTGAGCTTTGAATTGCATGAGAAGCGAGGAGAATGTCTCTAATTAATTGCATTTCCTTGACAACATCCCCAATATCCATCCTTTCTCTTGGAGATTCAACTGAACATTCAACTCCAATCTTTATTATTGAGATCAAGCATTCCCGTGCTTGTTTCACACTAGAACCATCTGGATCTATAATGCCTTCCTCTTCGTCTTGCCCTTCTCTGCTGCTGCTGCTAGGTTGAAGCATTGTGTCAAATATTTCATCATTTATTTCAGGTAACGCCATCTTAGCAAAATTGGGAAGAGTCAGTCCATCTTTGAACTCGTAGCTGTAAACATCACCAAATGGAGAAGCCTTACCTCCCATGCTGTACTCTGCGTACATAAGAAAAGAGAAAGAGGGATAATTACATTTTCGGGCGGCCCTAAAAAATAATAGCCTGCAAATGTATATGTTTGTATATTAAGTATAAATATACATATAATATACATAATATATGCATAATTGGTGTACATCTTTTGTATCTTTGGGTTAGCGCCTGTAATTAATTTCGGCAGACTGGCCAAAAATGAAAAAATACCTAAGAAAAAAGGGAAAGGAAAAAATGAAGCACCTTTGCAGAAGCACTTAAAAATTATAAAAGTCAATCTTAAAACTCTGCCTCTTATCTCGAGAAGATCAAGTATATATACTACTTTGATACACCATTTAACAGGAATCATAATAAAAAAAATATTTCAACTTTGAAGAATCTAAAAACAGTGTTTAATGGAATCAACAGGAAACTATCTAACTGATTAGACAATGTTGCCTGGTGCAGTATATCCAGTTGTCCCCCTCATTCCAATTGAACTACTCTGATTAGGATGATATTTGCTCATGTCTTCTGACAAGAACTTTGCTAATCCAAAGTCAGCTACATGTGCAGTCATGTCATTGTCGAGATTCGGTAAGGATGTTGTCCGACTTCAGATCACAGTGCACGATTGGCTTGTGGCAATGGTAATGAAGATATTCCAGTGCACAAGCAACATCAATAGCAATGTTTGGTCTTTCGATTAGACCTAGGATACTCTCCTCATTATTTGAGGCATCGGCTCCTGGAGTAGGTTGCAACCAACTTTCTAAGCTCCCATTAGGCATGTACTCGTAAACTAAAGCTTTAAACTGATTTCCTTCAAAATCACAAGTTGAACAGGCAGTATAAATCTTAACAAGATTTCTATGCCTAATGTTATTTTGTCAAACATAGACACTATGGGGTCGTTTGGTTTGAAAATAAGTTAGGCTGGGATTCGTTATACTCGAATTAGTTATACTGAGATTAGTTATGCTGGGATTAGTTATCCTTGTTACACTTAAGTTTCAATGATGACAATAAGGCAAATCTAACTCACCAACTTTGCCTTGTTAAATGCAGTAACTCCAAGAAGATCCAAAAAAAGTGAAATGACATAATGAAAGACATACTTGCAGTAAAATAGAAGATTCAAAATGGAGTGGAAAACACAACATAATGGGAGACAATTTGAGTGGGAAACACAACATATTGGGAGACAATTTGAGTGCTTCCCCTTTTTCTATAAAGCCATCAAAAAAAAGAAAGGGAAACAAATCAAGTGCACTCCTTAGATTTCGGGCATGGAGCAATTAAATGAATCCAACTCATCTCTCATGAAGGAATCAGAGGCACCTCTCTTGAGTTAAATATCAGTAAAATATTGTGGGCCTCAATCAAAGAACAATCTACAATAACTCTCAAAACTCGCCTATAAGAGGATGGGCAAAGTCAAGGATTAAACACAGAACTACAACATTCGTTTCTAAGCCTTTCTATTCCTTAGTACAAACACTATATTCCTGAGTCTACAAATGTCTCAAAAGATAGGAAGGAGTAGAATACAAAAAGAAAGTTGGGTCAACTCTACAAAGAATTATAGTTGTTGTACAACATTGGTAATGAACGTTCACAAATCATCACTACTGTAAATATTTATCAAGCTCAAAGAGAACCCTTGTGACCCAAGGGAACTAGACGTAGGTACCACACAGGTACTGAACCGGTATAAAAACTGTTGTGTCTCTTTTTACCTTATCTTCATCTCATTTATCTCTACTAAAGTCAAATACTGTATACAGCCTAGTCGACTAAATCCACACTTAGTCAACTAAGTTTTTAAAATCAGCTACAATTCATCCCCCCCCCCTGTATTTAATTGGTATCGGAGCTTAACTCACGAACTTTGCTTAACAGCAAGTGAGGAAAAGATCATGGGATCAAGCACAGTAGTTGGAGCGCTATTCCAAGAAGGAACCTCTCAAGTATGACCCCCATACTTCAATGGTCAACACTTTTCTCACTGGAAAGTACGCATGGAGACTTACACTATGTCATATGACATTAAAGTTTGGCGCGTGATCAAAAAGGGAAATTTTCCAATTCCACCAAAGAAAGATGAAAATGGTCAAGTTATAGTTTCATGTGATCCTCTTGATTTAGATGATTACACTGAAGAACAATCAGTTGTCATAATAGTTAATGCCAAAGAAAAAAACCTTTTGTATAATGCTATCAATGGAGAAGAATATGAAAAGATATCAAGTTGTGAAACTGCAGAGAAAATGTGGGATAAATTAGAAGTCACATATGAAGGAACCAATAAAGTGAAAGAAACAAGAATCAATCTTCTAGTTCGAGATTATGAACTATTTCATATGAAAGATGGAGAATCAGTAGAAGAAATATTTTTCAGGTTCAGCAAAATCATTGGAGACCTAAAATTATTTGGTAGACCAATCAAAAGTAAGGAACAGGTCAGAAAAATTATGAGAAGTCTTCCCACGATTTGGTAACCCAAAGTCATTGCCTTGGAATGTCAGGATCTTGACAAAATGGCATATGATGAACTAAGAGGTGATCTAATTGCGTTTGAAAAAATACATTTAGACAGGCAAGTTCAACAAGAAAAAAGGAAGACAGTCGCATTCAAAGCAACTGTGGCTGAAGAAGAAGAAGATATGAACATAGCTATGCTTTCCAAAGTGCTAATAGACATGATGAAGAGGAACAGATACAACAGAAGAGGCTATTCAAACTTCAGAAAAGAGAAGATGAACAATGATAACGACAAAAATGATGAAAGATGCTATGAGTGTGGGAAACATGGACACATCCAAGCAGAATGTCCCGAACTGAAAAAGAAACTTAGTAGGAACTTTGAAAAGAAGAAATCTTTTGGAGCTTGGAGTGATGAAGAAGAACCTGATTAAGAAGAAATTGCCAACATATGCTTCATGGACATTAATGATGATAACGATGAAGACTCAGGTGAACTTGCTCTCAAGGTTGACGAAGGTATAAGTGAGGTACGTCTTCCTACATGTCCAAATTGTCATAAACTTCAAGAATTTATCTATATTGCTCTTACAGATATTGAGAAAGTTCTAAATGAACTTCGAAAAATCCAAAGAGAAAAGAAAGATTGGGAGTTGAAATTAGAAGTATATGCTTCAAGAGAAAGTTAACGAACTTCAACTTCAATTAAGTGGATTACGAAAATCCACCAGTCATAGTTCTGTTAAATCAAATAAATCTGTTCCTCATAAATTTCCAACTAGAAATCCTTCCTCATGTATTCACTATGTTAAAAATGGGCACAAATTAAATCATTCCAGGTTTAGAATGAAAGCAGAGAAAGGCTATGAAAATTCTAATAACCCCCCATGCTTTTACTATGGAAAATTTGGTCATTTAGCTAACCATTGCAGGCTTAAGAACAACAAGAAATGGGTCTGGCGACCCAAGACCTCAAATCAAGCTAACACTCAGAATACTAACCATTCAGGACCCAAGCAAGCTTGGGTACCTAAAAATAAGTAACTTCTTATTGTAGGAACAGCGCAAGCGGAATAGAAAAGGAAAATGGTATCTTGATAGCGCATGTTCCAGACATATGACTCGTGACAAACAAATATTCAAAACAGTCACCAAATTAGATGGAGGAACTGTCACATTTGGAGACAAATCAAAAGGGAATGTAATTGGAGTTGGAAGAGTCCCTCTTAGCTCAACATGTGATGTAGACGAAGTATACCTAGTTGATGAACTTGGTTACAATCTTCTTAGTATCAATCAACTATGCGACAATGACTATGAGGTTCGTTTTAAAAAATCTTGTTGGCTTATTGAAGACGAATCAGGTAAAGTTATTTTTTCTGGAAATAGAGACAAAAATATCTATACTATAAGCAACATAGACAGTCTTAGTAATCAAATTTGTCTAGCTTCTATAATTGATGATCCTTGGGTTTGGCACAGAAAGTTTGGCCATGCTAGCATGCATACTATTCAAAAAATCTCTAACCTCGATCTTGTCATTGATCTTCCAAAACTAGATTTTTTAAAAGATCATATTTGTGATGCATGTCAATTAGGAAAACAAACTCGTTCATCCTTTAAAAGCAAAAACATTGTATCTACTACTAAACCCCTTCAACTCCTGCATATGGATCTATTTGGTCCAACTAGAACTGCCAGCATTAGTGGTAGAAAATATACCTTTGTTATCGTAGATGATTTCTCTCGTTTCAGTTGGGTTATGTTTCTGAGTCATAAAGATGACGCTCTAAAGAATTTTGAAGTTTTTTGTAAGAAGATATAGCGTGAAAAAGGATATTACTTTTCTACTATCAGAAGTGACCATGGAGGAGAGTTCGAAAGCAGAGCCTTTGAAAACTTTTGTAATGATCAAGAAATATCTCACAACTTCTCTTCGCCAAGATCACCTTAACAGAATAGAGTGGTAGAATGTAAGAACAGAACTTTACAAGATATGGCAAGAACCATGATTGTGAAAAATTCTCTGTCTCACCACTTCTGGGCAGAAGTTGTAAGTACTGCATGTCATATTATCAATAGATGTCTGATTCGACCCCTTCTCCAAAAAACTCCATATGAACTGTGGAATGGTAAGAAACCCAACATCAGTTACTTCCACCCATTTGGATGTAACTATTTCATTCACAATAATGGTAAAGATAACTTGGGTAAATTTGATCCAAAAAGTGACAAAGGTATCTTTCTTGGTTATTCTCCTTCAATTAGAGCATATATAGTCTTTAATAAAAGAACCCTATACATTGAGGAATCCATTCATGTTGTTTTTGTAGATACTAACACTCACTTAAGGAATGTAAAACTTCCTAAAGATGAGGAAATATCTATTGTTCCAAAGTCTGTTGTTGCAGGAAAAGACAGTCAATATCAGTCGACTGAGCAGCAAAATCAATCAACTGAAGAACACATTGATTTCCAGGAACCATCTTCTGTTGAACAGGCGATCACAAATATTCCAAATGAATGGAAAAGTGAACCTGGATATCCTTACAAGTTCATCATTGGAAATCCACAAGAAGGTATCACTACTAGAAGATCTCAGAAGATCAACTCTCACATGTCCTTAATATCGCAACTTGAGCCAAAAAAGGTTAACGAGGCCCTTAAAGACGTTTACTGGGTCAAAGCTATGAAGGATGAACTCGATTAATTTGAAAGAAATAAAGTGTGGGATTTTGTTCCAAAGCCATCAAACGACTCCACTATAGGAACTAATGGGTCTTCAGAAATAAACTAAATGAGTCCGGGCAAGTGGTTCGTAATAAGGCAAGGCTAGTTGCTCAAGGTTACTCTCAGCAAGAAGAAATCGACTACGATGAAACTTTTACACCTATAGCAAGATTAGAATCCTTTAGAATACTACTTTCTTTTGCTACTCATAAAGGATTCAAGCTATTTCAAATGTATGTAAAAAGTGTGTTCTTAAATGGATATATCTCTGAAGAAGTATATGTGAAACAACCTCCTGGTTTTTGTAAGTTCCAGCTTCCCAAACCATGCATTCAAGCTGTCTAAAGCTCTATACAAACTCAAGCAAGCTCCTAGTGCCTGATATGGAAGACTAAGCTCATTCCTTCTAAATCAAGGCTTTAAAAGAGGTAATATCGACATAACTTTATTTATTAAGCACTCAAATTCAGGTAATCTTATTACTCAAATTTATGTTGACGATATCTTCTTCGGGAGTCCTGACCCTGTATTATATAAAGAATTCTCTCATATTATTAAAGGAGAATTAAGACTGAGAATGATGGGAGAACTAATATTCTTTCTTGGATTACAAATCAACAATTTTCGAAAGGGATTTTCATTAGCCAAACCAAATGTACCAAGGAACTCATAAAAATGTTTGGCATGGAAAATGCAAAGTCTATTGGAACTCCAATGAGCCCAACAACTTTTCTTGAAGAAGACAAACATGAAAAAAGTGTGGATGAAACGATGTATAGAGGAATGATTGGATCACTATTATATCTCATTGCTAGTCGATCAGACATAATGTTCAGTGTATGTAAGTGTGCAAGATTTCAGTCGGCTCCAAAGGAATCTCATCTTACTACAGTTAAACGTATTATTAGATATCTCATTGGGACCACTGAATTAGGACTATTGTATGCTCATTCTAACAATTTCTCCTTAAAAAGTTTTTCAGATGCAGATTTTGCAGGTGATAGGATTGACAGGAAAAGTACTAGTGGCACATGCCAATTGCTGGGAAATACTCTAATTTCCTGGCATAGAAAGAAACAAAATTGTGTTGCTCTGTCAACTACTGAAGTAGAATATTTAGTTGTAGGGAGTTGTTGTACACAAATCTTTTGGATCATGCATCAGCTTCTCGACTATGATTTATCTCTTACCTCTCCTCCTATATTCTATGATAATACAAGTGTTATGTGTCTTTCAAAAAATTCTGTGCATCATTCTAGGGCAAACCACATTGAAATTAAACATCATTTTATTCGTGATCATGTTGCAAAAGGTGATATTTTATTTGAATTCATTGGTACTGTATCGCAACTTGCTGATATTTTACAAAACCTCTTTTGGAAGAAAGATTTTGTCTACTGCATAAAAAGATTGGTATTATATCTATTTTGTAAAGAAATCATTATAAAATATTTTTTTGTCTTCTTAATTAATAAATGTAAGTGTTATTATTACATTGTGTCGCCGAAGCAACTCCCCAGAATAATCATTTTCATCCAAATTACCTTTTCCTCTAACCGATGAACCTCTTCAATCTTAGATAAATACCCTTTTTATCTCTCATTTTTCATCACTTCGCACAAAATTTTTATACCATGGCGAAAAGAAATCTCTCATCCACTGCCACAAGACGAAACAGACGATTTAAGAAAATCCAAAATGCTGAAGAAACTGTTGACCTTGAATCATCTCTTAATTCAGCCTTCTCAAAGCTGATAATGAAAGCAGTGAATCATCGGAGGAACTTTCTATTAGTCAAAAAAGGGCAGGAAAAAGATCAATGTAGAAAACCCCCAAAGGACCTGCATGCAAGAATGTGAAAGTGAAAAACTCAGATTTTGGGCCAGCGGATAAACTAATCTTATATGGACCAAGTGAAAAATCAAGGTTTGAGTCTTATAAGTCTAAATCTATGGCCTATGGACGCTCTGTAAGTCTTCCTCTTATGAAAAGTTTACACTGTGATGTAATTGCTATCTTTGATTTTCAATGTCTCTCCTCTATGTTTGATAATATTGGAACCTCTGTATATGAAGAGCCTGTGAGGAAGTTTTACGCAAATCTGTTTGTGAATGACAAAGATGATTTAGAATCAATGGTGTTAGGTACTCAGATTGTTCTTGATCCCTATCAATTTGAAAAGATTTTTTCTGCAAAGTTTCATGGTTATGATGTCTTTGTACAAAATTCCTGGCCTAAAGACTTTGAAGTTTATTTAGAAGAAGCGAAAGATTTTCTCTCTGAAAACCCTCCTGGCATTGGTCCTAAAAATCTCAAGTTTGAATACCGTAATCTAGCCCATATGATAGCCACTACTCTACTTTCTAGGACTGGGTCTCTCAACACCTTGACTACTAGAGACATTTTCGTTCTTTACTGTCTTGTGAATAATAAAAGACTTGACTGGTTTGTATGGATTCGTCATTATATGCTCGAAAGTATCAGGGATATATCCTCCTCTACAGCTTGCTTACCTTATGGCTTGCTCATTTCACATATCCTTAAAGTCATGAAGGTTGATTTGGCACCTTTTTCACCTAAGCACATTACAAGCACTTATGATAAGACAGCCTTTACTATGATGGGTTACACCTTAGGTGAAAATGGATGGGTCAGATGTGCCAAGGTTGAAAGTTCTTTAGTACAGGTTGAAGCACCCACTTAACCAACAGAGCCTCAGTCGACTGCCACTATTAATCCGCATTAGATTCAGCAAAGTCTAGATGAGGTAAAAATCATGCTCACCACCATGAAAGAACAAGTGGACAAGATCAGGGAAATCACCAAAGAAACAGGCACATATGTGGCTAAGCTCAGGATTGACATAAGAGCTACAAGGAGGCAAGGAATCAGGGCTTTCAACTCTATGACATAAAAGATGAACAAAATCACCAAAGAAATCGATACCTTTTATGACTTTTTCTGCACCAAAATGATCAATACCCTGAAGTACATCCCGGGGAGAAACTAAGGTTGTGTGTGTGTGTTTTAAAAAAATAATCTTTTGTTCGCTACTTGTATTTGGGGTGTATATTTGGTACTTCTGTTTGCACTGGTCTGTAGGAACCATCACAGTATGCCTCTGCTGAATGAATAAACGTTACTATCCTAACCAGTTTTCTTGTGACCTATATTATGATTATTTTATCTGCACTCGATCTCTTTTCTATTCTTTTTGATTGATGCCAAAGGGGGAGAAAGGAGGCAAGTAAAACAAAGCAACCAGAGCAACAACTCAGGGGGAGTAACAGAACTAGAGCAATAACTCAGGGGAGCATGCATCTTAAGCTATGAAAGGGAAGTACAATCTGTTTTTACTTTGTTTTATTTGTTTGTTTTGTCATCATCAAAAGGGGAAGATTATTACACTTAAGTTTCAATGATGACAATAAGACAAATCTAACTCACCCACTTTGTCTTGTTAATTGAAGTAACTCGAAGAAGATCCAAAAATAAAGTGAAATGACATAATGGAAGACATACTTACAGTAAAATAGGAGATTCAAAATGGAGTGGGAAACACAACATAATGGGAGATAATTTGAGTGTTGCCCCTTTTTCTGTAAAGCCATTAAAAAAAGAAAGGGAAACAAATCAAGTGCACTCCCTGAATTTCGGGCATGGAGCAATTAAATGAATCCAGTTCATCTCTCATGAAGGAATCAGAGGCACCTCTCTTGAGTCAAATATCAGTAAAATATTGTGGGCCTCAATCAAAGACCAATCTACAACAACTCTCAAAACTCGCCTATAAGAGGATGGGCAAACTCAAGGATTAAACACGCAACTACAACATTTGTTTCTAAGCATTTATATTCCTTAGTACAAACATTGTATTCCTGAGTCTACAAGTATCTCAGAAGATAGGAAGAAGTAGAATGCAAAAAGAAAGTTGTGTCAACTCTACAAAGAATTATAGTTGTTGTACAACGTCGGTAGTGAACGTTCACAAATCATCACTACTGTAAACATTTATCAAGCTCAAAGAGAACCCTTGTGACCCAAGAAAACTGGACGTAGGTACCACATTGGTACTGAACCAGTATAAAAATTATTGTGTCTCTTTTTACCTTATGTTCATCTCATTTATCTCTACTAAAGTCAAATATTGTATACAGCCTAGTCGACTAAATCCATACTTAGTCAACTAAGTTTTTAAAATCAGCTACAATTCACCCCTCTCCCTTGTATTTTCAATCCTTGTATTGTTTCTTATTGACTATGTGGTATGTTGTATTAATCATGAGATTATCAATTTTATTATTTTATCCTGGGATTACTATTCCACCTTCTGACAAGTATAAGTTATCCTGATACTATTTTTAATCTTGGAATAACTTATCCAAGGATTAGTAATCAGATAAAGGATAAGACGATACTAAGTTTTTATCTCAGGATTGTTTTTGCTTATCCATCATATCAAACGACCCCTACAAGCATAGCCAAGGCATCGAACATGTTGAAAATGTCTCTCTCATCTGTTGCTCTCTCTTTTGCCATCTTTTCTAAGCTCTTGGTTGAATTTGTCTGATATGAAAACTTCAAGAGAAATAGTCTGATAGCACTTTCTTGTCCTATCCAGGCCATGGGAATTCACTTCTAGGAGAATATACTAATGGACATCCTCAGCAGGTTACTTATGCTGTCTCTTCTTCAATTCAAATATGCTTTAAAATTTTGGAAACATTAATCTGTTACCCTTACTTTACGATGAAGCATTTCAATCATGCCAAGAATGATACGAATTCCCAAAAATTTCTTATTTTCCAAATGTCCAACAAGGATGATCTCTTTAGCATCTATTGTTGTCCTTTGTCGTCAGTTCAACGGGTTGAGGGTGTATAAGAACTTGTTTTCCTTTCAAACTCTGAACCACAGTCTTGCAAAATCTGTTGTTGTGGCGATGCCTTGGATATTATCAAGGTTTATGAGAATATTGTTCAACACGACAATCAATAGTGCTTCCTAATCTAAATTTCCGACTAAGGCACTTTCTTGTTTGGGATTGGGTTATGACTCAACTAGTGGTGGCTATGAGATCCTTAAGATTATCTAGAACACAAATGATGGTCGCACAATACCTAGTGAAATTCTTGTGCTGAAAAGTGGTTCATGGAGAAATATTGATATACATCCTCATAGCATTCGCAATGTGTTGTCCGGTATGCTTTCTGATGTCTTATACTTCAATACCACACAAGATAAGGGTGATTTTTGTGGTGTCCAATTTTCACGTGCACTGATTATGGAAGGACCTGGTTCTTCTATGTGTTCCTTATACTACTGTTGCAAAAATAATAAATGCGAAAAGTAAAGAATACAAGTATTTTACATGGAAAACACCCGGCTCAAGAGGTGAAAAAACCACAACTTACTACTTAGTAGGATTTTTCCCAACACTTCACTAAATCAGTGAGCCAAAACAGCATTTACAAAACTCTTTGTAAACCTAAGGATTACCTGTAATCCCGTTGTGGCAACCAACCTCTAACTGTTACGACAAGTTCAAGTTAATTCTAACTTGAATACTCAGAGTACCTAATACAATTGCTTCTAGATAAAGCTGAAAGGTACAATTTAAAAAACCCTACCACAATTGAACTAGAATAAAATAAAGACACTTGTAACTGGTTCTTCTATCCGGTTCATGTAGTTTCAGGTTCGCACACTTGAATCGCAAAAGAATTGCTTGCAAAATGCCTTGTTATTTTTCTCTCAACTCAGGTTTAACTTCAGTGTTTGTGTGTACCTGTACAATGAGAACATTATACAATTTATAGAGTTAGTAGAACAAGAAATAACTAGAGTTCTAATGTTATACTGGAAATTCTAATTATCTTCAACTTCTAACTCCTCCCTTATCTAGAATAGAGTTCTCTCGAGTAAAGAGTCCTTCTCCTTATCACTTATGCAACCTTTTTGATCAGGAGATATCAGATATAACAACTTGAGCTTATCTCCTTTACGTGCATCCCTTATGCTCGAATTCTGCCCATGACTGTGTACACTGTGTATGGACATGGTTCATGCTTGATTTCCTTTGTCAATCATCAAAACAAACTTCACTTGGGCCAAAACATTCCCCCTTTTTGATGATGACAAACTCTGTGCTTTTTGTAAGTATAAGCCTTGTTTCAACTCAGCTCAACATCAATACAAAGTTAGAACACTTTTCATTTTAAAGTCAATAATCATCAAGGACCAGGTTCATTAGGTTATAAACATCATAATCCAAAGTAAAAAAGCACATATCTTTCCCTTTTGTCATCATCGAAAAGTTGCATAATTATGTTAGATAACCAGATTTTAATAAAAATTATTCATGGCCACTTGGGCTACTTCAAATGCAATCATGGAGTCAAGCATCATTTATCAATCTAGTGATATTAGCCATCTAAGAAGCATCAACAAATAGTTAGAGTACAAAAACAGTTAATTATCATTGATACTAGTCATCCACAAAGCATAAAGAGAAATAAAAATATTGGATCATGAGCAAAAAGAACAAAAAGAAATCGCATCTCGGTCACTGGTTTGTCTAACTAGACTAGGAAGGTCTTAAGGCTAGGAAGGACCAGGTTCTTGATTCTTGGCTTGAAGCAGTTTCAGCATATCATGAAGAATGCCATCATTCTTCTCCTTCTCCTTTTCAAGCTCAGCTCTGAGAGCATCTCTCTCAGTTTCTACTTCTGCCAACTTCTTCTTCAGCCTTTCAATTTCAGCATCCTTTGCCCCCACTTTATTGCACCAAGGCTCGCAATTTGCTGTTCACAGGTACCTTCTTCA